AAAATTTAAAATTTTATTTTAATTTTATATAAATATGTGTTATTAACAAATTTAAGATATGGTAGCAGAGAGGCACCTATAATGTGGAAAATCCACCCCATGGGGTAATTGAGTGGTAAACAAAAAAGAGACTGGGAGATATTAAAGTGGAAAGCCTAAAAAGACAAAAGAGATTTTAAGGACAATATTAAGAGTACTTGAAAAAAATTGAGAGGCATTTGCTTCCTAATATTTCTTTGTTGAAGATTTTGAAAGTTAAATTGATATTTTACTCTCTTTTTTTTTTTTTTGTTATTATTATTCGTTTGCATAATTCTTTAATAGGAGAAATTCCAACCATTGGTATCATAAGGAGGGAATTTTATTCCATAGGGTGGTCTAAGAGATCGGAGGAGGAATTTCTTAATTCCCAACAGGGCAGACATCAACGGTAACTAAACTCAAGTCAACAACGTCAACGCTTCCTCAGAACAGTGGAAAATTTCAGGAACAAGAAGCGACGAAAAATGGTTTTGCCAATATGGACGAAAAATGTTTTTGTCATTTTAATATATCCTTTATATATCTAATCCTCCGTCAATGAAAATCAAAGGCTTCAAACCTCTTTCTGCAAACTGGAATTAATAATTTTCTTGTGTAGCAAATGGAGCTGGCTTTGAATTCATAACACATGAAAATGAGTTTTGATTCTCAGGAATTGATGGCACTGCACTTGGGCTTCTAATGCATCACCAGAAATTAGGAAAGTAAGCAGAAATTTTAGCTCCTGAATTCGTCTACTGGTAGATGTATTTATTTTCTTAAATTAGTTTTAATTTAGGATTAGGATTTTGTTTTAATTTGGACTTCACACTTGTTGATCAGCTAGTTCTGTGCTTACTAATGTTTTCCTTAAATGAAATGAAGGATCTTTGACATTTGGTGCTTGCATATTCCAGTCAAGGACAGGACATCTTTTCCAGGTGTCCAATGATGAGTAGTTGTGGACTAAGTACATGTACGGTAAGATGTTTGTTAATACAAATTTTGGTTTTAATTTTCTGTGTTTCTTATGGGATTCAGGCCTAGTGCAGCTTGTTGAAAGTACAGTTAGGTCAGAGTACTCCAGGTCACCAAATAGACGAATATATCTTGTTGGGGAATCCCTTGGAGGATGCCTTGCTTTAGCTGTTTCAAACCGTAACCCGGATATTGATCTGCTACTTATCTTGTCTAACCCAGGTAAGGACTAGATTTGTTGTAATTCTTTACAAACAGCATTCCTTAACGTCGTAATTATATTTTTGCAATATTAACAGGTGTGCTGTTATAATTTCCTTCCTAAAAGTTATAAATGGAATCAGTTGCCAAACAATTGGTTTACTAAAACTGCTCTGCCTTTAGTAGATGTAGATCCTTCTTTGCAAAAATGCTTTTCTTGCCTTTGTACCAAGCCAAAATGGCTGTCATTGTAGATGACATTCAGTTGGCACTTTTAGTCTTTAGTCCTTTTGATCATATGTAATTCATGGTTTGAATTTTTGTATTCACAGCTACATCCTTTGGCAAGTCACAAC